GGTTGGGGGAGGGGAGAGGGGGGGACGGACAATGGCGAACAGTGGAGAGTGGTGATTTGGAGAATCTTCTTTGCCCTACAGACACAAAGAGAGTATACTTAGAGGTTGGGAGAGGGAGGAAAATGAGGAAGATGGTGGAGGCGGGGGGCGGACAGTGACGATAAACTGAAGAGTGAGTGGTGATTTTGTGAATATTTTTTCCCTACAGACACAACAGGTGTCCACTTATCGTTTGATTTCATTTCGCCCAACAAAGAAACTGTTTGTTTTTTTAATGCTATAATTTTGGTTCTCTTGTTTTTGGTTTTTGTTTGTTTGTTTTGTTGTTGTTGTTGTTTTTTTGTTGTTGTTGTTTTTTGCTTTTTCTGAAACTGTGGATAGAACGGTGACCGAAGAAAAATCAACAGCAGCATAAAAAAAGACCAAAAAAAACAAAGGGGAACCCCCTCCCCCCCCCCTCCCCAGCACAATTCTACCCTACAGACAAGGCAAGTGTTTACATATTGTTTAATTTCATTTTCACCTCAACCAACAATATGATTGAAACAATCTTTTGCCATGCAGACATAACGGGTGTCGATTTGTCGTTTGATTTCATCAGGTCTAACAAACAAGGTTTTTGGTTTGTTTGTTTGTTTTTGTGTTTGTTTGTTTGTTTGTTTTTGTGTTTGTTTGTTTGTTTGCTTTTGGGGTGGGGGTTTGTTGGTTTATTTTTTTGGATTAAATTTTTTTTCCGTTTTTCGTTTGGACTGAGTATCAGACTGTAATCAAAGAGAACGTTTGCCCTGCAGAGATTTCCAGGTATCATTTGATTACTTATGTCCGGTGGAATCAGGCGATTGACAGATTTTACGCGTCTGGGGTTATTGGTATAATCTTAAAGCTAGTTCGTTTGACTATCTTTCGGTGAGAATAATGCACATCTATCTTGAATAGAAGTCGAGACATTTGCAATTGAAAGAGGTCGGGGTCGCCTCGTTTCGGAGGTAAAATTAGCTAGAAAATGGCCACAAAGTTTGTTGATTCCCAAAGCTTGAGAGTTCTTGGAAACTGAAAATGTTTCTTTGTTGGGGTTTAATCAACGTTTTTCAGCAAAATAGAAAGAGGAATATATTTTAGAATAGATATAAAAGGTGTTGAGTCAAAAAGAAAAATTAGGAGAGAAAAAAAGCCAAACTGATGGGAAAATGGCAATATCTTCGATTTCATTATTTTGACGAGGGCCTGATTTCACGAAGATGTCTCACATAATAATAATAATAATAATAAATAGCATTTATACTGCGCATTTCCAT